ACACACACACACACACACTATATATATATATATATATATATATATATATATATATTTATTTATTTATTTATAGTAGTAGTAGTAATAGTGGTTATTTCTATCTAATGTGCTTGTGAGGCCGATAATGCAAGCCACGACAGCAACCTTATTCGTACCCTCCAACTCCAGCCATGGGGAAGGTTTCACCGCTGCGGCCACGCAGCTTCGCGCGCAAATCGCCACCCTGCAGGCCGTGATGGATCGCGAGAGCTGCCGATGGGAGGACGCCGCCCTCGCCTACTCCCGGGAAAAACTCCACGCTCACTTTTCCCGCGTAAAAGGCCGCCCCTACACCGACGGCGCGGCTGTGTATGAGTTTTTTTCCACATTTTTCTTACTTTGTGGGGTGGGTTGGATCAGTTGGAGGTTATTGGGGTTTGCGTTTGCGGGGCTTCTTCGTTATACGGCGTTGCGCGCCGCGCATCAGAGGATGCGGGAAGAAGAGGCGATCGTCCGACAAGAGGCTGCACGACGAGGGTTAGGGGAGGCCCTTCTTCGCCACACGCAGCGTCGGTTGTGGTTTTGGTGCGTTTTAAAAGTCCTCCTCGCGGCAGGGGTGTTGATTGGGATGATCGGCGCGAATTCCCTCGTGTGGGAGGCACTTCGGCGTCTGCTACGGCTGTGGTGGGGGTGGGATCTCGACGCCGCGGCGAAAGGCGGCGAGGGAGGGGGGGTTTGGTTTCTCCGTGAGGCCCTTCACGCGATTCGAGGTGGGGAAACAACGGAAACCCGCGTGGTCGCGTCGGATGCCACCTCCTTCCCCGTGGCGAACTTTCTAGGATCGGTGCAATCGCTCTATCTGTGGTATTCGGTAGGGCCGGTGGCGTTGAGCGGCGCGTTGTTTCTGCTTCGTTCGGCAACGGAAGCGCAGCGTAAGGCGAGGGAGGCGTTGATTCGACAGCGTCAAACCTACGCAGCGGGCTCGCCGCTGCTGCACGGCCTCGCGCGGGAGGAGCGGCGACGGGAAACGGTCGAAATCGCCTCCGCGGCGTTTTTACAGGTCTGTGAGCTGCACCACCGCGCCGTTGCCGCGGCGGGCAGGAACGGGGGGGTTATCGAGGTGAAACCCGCGGTGGAGGGGACGCGCGTCATGCCTCCCGCTTCGCTCATGGAATGATGAGAAAATGAACCGTATTTTTATTTTATTGCATTCTTTTGGCTTATGCGCAAACCTGTGCTTTTTTTCTTTTCTTTTGATACCCCATGTTTACAATATTGATGAAAAGTTAATTGTATTCGTCTGATTGCTTGTTTTCTCGATTTGATCCGATGGGTGGTTGTCTTGTTCTTCATAGGTAACTTTCTTTGTGTTCCTTTTCTCTCACTTCCTCTCGAGTGTAGGATATAGCGATCTACTTGGGGTAATTAGTGATAGATAGCAATAGGATCCGATCCATCATTTTCTTCGTCGATTGATCGATTTGGTGTGTATTCAGGCGGGGTATGAATCGTCTTTCCTCTGCGGGGTCGGTCTCGAGCGCGCCGATTTACGCGAAGGCCCTCGCGCAGTTCTCCGTTTGCCGTCAACCCTGGAGTGAGTACATTAGCTTGCTCACTAAGGAGGATAGCAAACCTTACCACACGGAGCCCCCCGAGCGGCCGGCGTATCGGGGTCGAAAACGCGGCCGGGAAGGGTGGCTCTTCGGGCAGCAGGTCCCCTTGCATTACCACCGCTTTCCCGACGAGCAACTCTTCGCGAACCTCACGCGTTGGCGGATGGGGGATACGGTGGGCGACCTCGCCTTGCAGCAGTTTCGAAACGCCCAGCCGTTTGATATTGAGGATAAAGACCCCCAGGGGTTTCAACGCCCTGCGCCGGAGGTGTATATGAAGCTGAACTACAAAAACCCCGCGACGATCTCGCGGTTTTTGACGCGCACCGGTCATTTTTACCCGCAGGATATCCTCCCTCTTAATCCCGAGGCGGTGGTGAAGCTTCGTGTGGCGAAGGTGCAGGCGATTCGAATCGGACTCTACCCACGTTTTGGGAATCCGTTTTGGTTTCGCTCGCAGCGCTTTCGCCCGAAGGCGTATCAGGAGAACTACGACCCCACCACCTACTCCACCAAACACACGATGGAGCACTTTGCGTATAATTGGGTTCAGATGGATCGCATTCGGCAATATTTTAAAGGGTTAGAAGAACTTCATGCGCGTCGCCGCGCCGTCGGATCGGGTGGCAGCGGCACCACCGCCGAGAGCAAGCAACAGGATCAGTACTATGCCCCTGAAAACGAGCCGATCAATCTTTATCGCGATACCCCTGTCTACACGGCCGAGGTGGAGCACTCGGTGAAGAATCCAACCGTTCCAGGGTTGATGTCGACGAAGGGGATGAAAAAGAAGTTCCACAACCTCTACTCCTCGACCTCAACCAAACGAATGGGGTTTTCGAACCCCACCCTGGGCATCAAAAAGGTGTAGAGAGCACCGAAGCGAAGGAGTTTCTTCTTCTTTTTTTTTCGCTTTCTTAGTGGACGTCTCCGTCGTGGAGGAGATATTTTAGGGGGGTTGACCGTTGAATCGACGAAAATTCAACGACGAGTGGAGCGCACACTCTACTCGTTAGGGTTCGTACTTTTACATGCCGTTGGTAAAAGCGCCTATTTTTTTTCTTCACTTCAGCATTGAGCTCTGCCTTATGAATGCCTCTGAAAAATTAGCGAGCGGTACGGCGAACGGAAACCCCCAACAGTCTTTTGCGGGGTTTCGCTTTTTACGAATTACATTTGCCCTTTTTTTTCCCACACTCTTCTTTCTGGTTGTCCTCATAGGCTAATGAAATAGTAGGGGGGTATACCCATCAAGGATTTTGACTCAATACTTGCCAATCCGAAGTCGACCTGCGCCTACCACCCGTCTATTCCAAATCGTTTGTCTTAAAATATATATATATATATATATATATATATATATATATTGT